AGAGAGAGAGAGAGAGAGAGAGAGAGAGAGAGATGGCTCTTTGGCTTTCCTGAGAACCTATATTTCCTGTGTGATTCTGAATTTATAAAATGTCTATTGAAATTTTAACAACTTACCCATTTGAATATTTGTACTCATACTAAAAAATAGGTTAATTAAACTTGGTGAATAACACAACTAAAAAGCTAAATGATATTCATGTGACATCTGTAAGTGGTTAAGAGAAAAATAAAATTAATCAAACTAGCAGTCCCTGTCTGCATAAAACCTAATGCCTGCTTTTAATTTGAGGTTAAAAAAATCATTGTGATGGGGGGTAGGCAGAGACAAATGTATTTGGAAAAAATAAAGAAGAAAAAAAAATCATCAATATTTCTAGTTCTACTAGTGTGTCAAGCTACAGGTTCTACAAAATAATTTTTATACTACTATACAAATTCCTTTCTATTCCTTAAGCATATACAATAATTTATTTTTATTGGAGAAGAAACTATAGATCAACAGGTGTAGATAAAGATGGCATGGCTTTGGAGACCTAAATTTCAATTAAAAATGATTTCAGATAAATAAATATACAGGAGCCTTGTTTCTTAAATATACAAAGAACCTTAAATATAAAGTGATTGCAATTTCTTTTAAAATAAGGCAAAAGACTAATAAAGCAAAAATTCACAAGCCAAATTACTATCAAATTTCAGTTCAACATCATTTTAAAAACCCACTTCTGAATTCATAAACTGTTTTCACAAAGAAAGAGCAAACTCACTTATAGAAATTCTTCTATATGGGAATCATCGAAACTTTAAAAGGGTAAAACCAAATACCTGACTTCAGCATCGTGGACACAGTTAACGTGGAAAGCAGATGAAAAATGAAATTGTTCCATTCTTGGATTTGGTAGATAAAAATTCTGATCTGTACTGATCACTGTTAGAATGTAGGTGTTAAACAAGGAACTGTTTAAGAGGTCTAATCTCTCCTATTCAAGCCACTGTAAGATCTGAGTAGCTCAGCCTATCCTCTGACCATATAGCAAAACATATTTCAATGAAGGGTTTGGCCTGATGAGTAACCAGCCTAGAAGACTCAACAACCATAATAAGAAAATGGAAGACAGTCATACATTTTGAAGGCTAGTTTCTTAATTATGACACATGACCAAACTTTCTATATTGAAATTTAGAAAACTAATATTAAGCAAGAAAAAAGCTGGAAGTTAGATGTTTATTTACTTAACTCAAAATATTTAGCTTCTAAAAGTGAATTCTAAGGCATCACATACAATGTATAGTTTATGATAAATGTTTGTAAGAGTCTACCTAAATGAGCCAGTGATAAATTATTATCTCCAATAAATGTCTTTAATAAAAAGCCCTGGAAACAGAATACTCTACAAATTGACTTAACTAGAAAATTCAAATAAATGTCTTGTAAGTGGTTTCTATTTAAAATTTTTAATTAACAAAAGCAAATACCTAAGAGTTCAAAAACCCATTTTTATATTAAAATGAAATTTTGTAATATGCTACAAAGAATGAAACTTGAGAACAATAAAATAAGTCAGTGAAATAAGCCAGTCACAAAAAAAACAAACACTGTATGATTCCACTTATATGAAGTACTTTGAATGATCAAAAGCATAAAGACAAAGTCTAATGGTGGGTGTCTGCCAGGGGCAGAAGGAGGGGAGAAAGGGGAGTTATTGTTTTATAGGTATAAAGTTCCAATTTTACAAAATGAAAAAAGTTACAAGGATGCACAATGTGGATGTACATTTTAAGTGATTGGTGATCCAATCACTTAAAAATGGTGAAGATGGTAAATTTTATGCTGTGTATACTTTACTACTATAAAAAAAGAAAAGTTTTCAATGACCTAAAAATTCAAACCCAAGAAGATGCTGTTTCTATTTTTTTCAGACTGCATTAACTATATGAAGAATGTTGGGTGTTGAACCTGTCTAAAACCTTCCAGGAAATATCATTCCAAATGAGTCAGAAGTACACTCAGGCTATGACATTAAAAACAATTAGAACACCTGATGTTTACCAGATGATCTCTCTTCATTGCATAATTCTAACCCTTTTTTCCACTAATGTTACATCATAACCAAATGTATACCTTGTAGCATAAAGACAAAGCAAATAATTAAACAGAAAGTATAAAACACCTCTATCCATATAAATCTGTTCCAAATGCATGTTATATGTTTTATTTATATAGACACTTATGAATACTATTTTACACTTTAATTCCCATGCATATCCAACAACATGTCTCACACATTGCAGAGAATCATTGGCACCACTGACTGATTTTGAGTCTTCACTTTGATGGGAACCTGAAATGTTTCTACCTTTTCAGAGTTTAAGGAAAAACAGCAGCATAAACATCTAGAAATGCTATAGTCAGCAGATGTTTCTATTTGATAGCATTAGATCAATTTGTTATGAAATACCCTACTTCCTTTGAATAAACATACCCTAGAGAATTGTCATGAGGGTTGAAATCATGACCTGCTGGGCCAGTGACTAGGAGTTAGTTCAGTAAATCCTTGCAGATGAGTTGATTAAAGACTCTAACATGTGCCCTGGCAAGCTAGCTCAGTTGGTTAGAGCATCATCCTAATATGCCAAGGTTGCAGGTCAACTCCCCAGTCCAGGGACATACAAGAACTAACCAATGAATGTATAACTAAGTGGAATAACAAATCTCTCTCTCTCTCTCTCTCTTCCTCTCTCTTTGCCTCTCTCTACAATCAATAAATAAAAATTTAAAAAGACTCTAACATATCATAAGCTCCCAAGTAAGCAATTACTAAGTTCAAAGCAAGAAACATTTATTGAGCAAAGAGTTTTTAAAGTTGGAAGAAACCTTAGAGATCTTTCTATTTAATCCCAACTGTTTACAGATGAAGAAACCACCACTCAGAGTGGCAAAATGGCCTCCCCAGGATTAAAATATCTTAACTTGAACCCAACTCTTCTTACTCTGACTCCAGTTGTTTACTTCTCTTACATTGTTTAGAACTAATTTCAGAGACAGTGTTATAATCTAGTGTATTTATATCTGACTTACACATTTACATTTTTAAAGTAGGTTAAATCAGTTGTGTGCATTTCCTAGATCTTGATTAAAATTATGTACAAAAACTCAATATAAATTAAATCTTCTGGTTCCTTGAAGCATACTACTAGGATAAATACAGCTTATTTTTCTTTCTCTTGGTGTATCTGCACCATTAAGTGAATAAAACAGAAAACTGGGAGCCATAAAAGAAAATAAAGGAGTACACTGCCGATAGCAGGATCGTCTGGAGCTTCTACCTTGTCAAGACAGAGATTTGCTGTCAACACACATGTTTAATTTAGGTCACATTCTTGAGCTCCAGGAGTATGTGAAGTATAAATATTCGTTGGATGAAGCTGATGAAAAATGATGACTTCCACTACATGAAGCTGTTGTTCAACCCATTCAGCAAATACTTGAGATTGTTTTGAATGGTAAGAAAACATAAAATCCCTTTAACCAAACCAAATCAAGAATGTAGAAGTTATGAGCATTCCCAAAGAACATAACAAGCAAAAGAGAAAAGCAGAAAAGATTATTTGAAATTTGGAAAAAAAAAATACACATGTTCTAAATTCAAGAGTACAAAAATCAGCTCATTTTGGGAGGTTCAGAGTTTACCATTTGCATCCTCCCAAGAATGTGACACAGGTTAGTAGGAAGGTTACCATGAAAAGTGATAAAAATTTTTATATATCGCAAATTAATTGATTTAAATACAAAGCTTTCTACTTTTGCAAGTTGGTTTTTAATTTTTCATCTTGAACTATCTCTTGACGTAAGTTTTCAAAGATTATTATGCAGTGTAAGTAGTACTTGCAATATTTGTTCTTATATTACATTTTTTATAATGTAAACATTAATAGTTTGGTAAGTAAAATTTTTAAAAAGCCACATAGTAAATGACCTACCATCAAGTAAATGTCACCAATCTACTTTAAATGCCAACTATTAATACAATAATTAACTTTCACAATCATTTGATAACAAATAATTACTCTCTTCAAAATATTAATTCTTCTGAAATACTAAAACGTTACCTAATTCTGACGTAGCTTTGTACGCACCAAAGAACAGAATCAGAATTATTTTTTGGTCAGAATTATTTTAAGTCACCTGTATAATACATTAGACATCTTTCTAGCAAGATTTTAAAAATAGTATTTCCTCTTTCCTCCCAGGGGTGTCCAACCTGTGGCCCAAGGGCCGCATGCAGTCCAGGATGGCTGTGAATGCAGCCCAACACAAAATTGCAAAATTTCCTTAAAATACTATGAGATTTTTTTGTGATTACGTGTTGCAATGTATCTTATGTGTGGCCCAAGACAACTCTTCTTCTTTGAGTGTGGCGCAGAGACACCAAAAGGCCGGACATCCCTGAGTCTAGCCCCAAAACAGATTAAGTAATCATGAGTTGTTGCAGACTTCCTGGAGTTCTCATACAACTTTTTAGCACTACCAATACACCAAGCATTTCTACTTATTCCTGGTTTCCTTAAAATGGGAAGCAGACGTAGTTCTAGTAGGACCCAGATCTTTCTACCCTATAATTTCACAGAAAGTATAAACTTGTAATTTCTATCTAAAAACAAATGATTCTTAAATGCAGTACCTACTTCCAAGTATCTAAGCTAGTTAAGATTTAGGTAGAAGCAGCTATTTAATTGAATCTATTAAAAGTGGTAAATAAATCAAAAATATATTTTCAACATCTAAAGGAAAAATAATTTGGGAAAATGTTTAAAGTCTTAATATAAGAAAACACCACTAATACCCAGAATTACCCACACTCAATCTAACACACAGTAGCTAGCAGACACAATTGTAAAAATCTACTTAAAAATTATAATTAGTTTGTGGTAAATGTCAATTAAGAATTTCATTCTTTTTTTTTTTTTTCCTTTCCTGTCTGCTTTTTAAGCATAAGGGGACGGGCAGATGGCAACTCCCAGGCATCCCGCAAAGTAGGCGAGTCACCTTAGGGGCAACCTTTACCTGCTCAAAAATCTGTCTCACATTAGCAGTGAGGATTCAGGCGTCACCCCAAATTGTTATTCTCCTTACTCATAAGTTTAAGGCATAAGAATTTCATTCTTATTAGGGTGTGATTTTCTAGCTAGCAGCTGAAGACTCTCTGCTATTAAGGATACCTCTGGTAGACTCTGGACTAGATTTGAACCATAAACTTGCTATATAATCTAAATTACCTAACTTGTCTGTACATTAATTTCATCATCTGTAAAATGACAATAGTATGTGCTCACTTTATATAGTTGTTTTTGAATACAAATTACTTACCGATGATAGGCTTCTCGCCGATATTTTTTCAGGGCCTGTTTATCCATGTTAGCAGGCAGATCTGCTGCATTCTGTAACCGATCACTCCAGGAGGTTGTCATTTTAATTGTATGCTGAAATCTAGAAAAGAAAATCACTACTGTAATTTAATAGCTTAATACTGGTACCTGTATGTTAATAATTGACTTTTTGAAAAATTAGAAAAACACTAACTTGCAAATGCCTGATATAATTATCTATTTAAATACTGAATGTGGTAAATATACTAAAAAATATACTGACACATCTAAACTATAGAAATTTAGGAAATTGTTTCATATAATTTCTATCCAGAAAGATCATATACATCATTTCAAAATTATAAAACATAACTATAATCCTAAATTCTAGAAAAGGGACTGAGACTACAGATTTATGGAAATATATAATTTTCAGTTAACATGTTTCAAAATGTATAAACAATTTTTAAATCCTGATCAACATATAAGCTCAATCAGTGGTAAGTAATGAATTGTGTTGATTTTTAATTTTATCATACTTTTGTATTTTTATATAAAAATTATTTTTCCTGGTATAAAAGATTATGGACTAGAAGAAATAAACTAAAACATTTTATCTCATTAGCAAACATCTAAATGAGATGAGCAGCTAAATGTCTACCTTAAATACTTTTAACACTAGACACTGTTCTAGGTTTCATTTCTATTTTTTTAGATTTTCATCTGTAAATAGTTTTAAATAAGGATGAAAAATATCCTTTTAAAGATAAAAATTCAAAACATTTTATTAAAGTACCAATGTGTGTCAAAACAGACTCATAGATACCAAGTTGCCAGATGGAAGGAGGGTTAGGGAGCAGCTGAAAATGAGGAAGGGATTAAGCAGGACAAATGAACAATTATAAAACAGTTATGAGGATGTAAAGTATGACACAGGGAATATACAGTCAATAATATTGTAATAACTATATATGGTGCCAGGTGGACACTAGCTTATCCAGGAGAATCACTCTGTAAGTTACAAATGTCTAACCACAATGCAATACACCTGAAACTAACAGACTATTGAATGTTACCTATAATTGAGAAAAGTTAAAATACCAATGGATGTAAAAACATCTACAATCTAATTTTTTTCCAATTTTGAAAATGCTAACCATTTATGACATTAAGTCAATTTTTAAATAAACCACCTTTGTAGCTTTTGAAATAATTTATTGAGGCAAAATTCTTATAAGAAAATTAATTATTTGAAAGTAAGTCACGGGCATTTAGTATATTATGTTTTGCAACTACCACCTCTATCAACTTCCAAAATAGTTCCATCACTACAAAGTAAAACCCCTTACCTATTAAGAAGTTTCTTCTAATTTCCCCTAACCCCCAGCCCCTGGCAACCACCATTCTGGATTCTGCCTCTATGGATTTATCTATTCTGGAAATTTCACATAAATAGAATCAAACAACATGTAACCTTTTGTATCAACCTTCTTCCACTTTATATATTTTCAAGTGTCATCCACATTGTACTATGTCTCAATTTCATTCCTTTTTATGACTGAATAAATATTCTTCTATATATACCACAATTTGTTTATCCATTCTTCTGTTAATGGACATTTGGACTATTTCCATCTTTTTGGCTATTATAAATAGAGCTGCTATGAGCATGTATATATAATGTATTTGCTTGAATATCAGTTTTCAATTCTTTTGGATATACTCATATACTGTAGTATTTTGTAAGTGATTCAGATTTTCCAAACAGTGTTTACAGAATAAAAGCACTGGTACTTACAAAAGAGCCTAGGTGAAATCTCATTCAACAATAAAATTACCTTGAGAAGTTATTTGCTAGATTATTAAAAATTAATCTAAATACACTGAAGGTCTTTTATTTAAAAAAAAATTCATGTAGCAAATCTAGACTATTCTGTCAACCAAAAAAGGAGAACTTTTTAAAGCAGAGTGTTACAACTGAACTTCAATGATTTATTTTATTGATTATGCTATTATAATTGTCCCATTTTTTTTCTCCCTTTTATTCCCTTCCACTTACATCTTACCCACCAGCATTACCACCCTACCTTAGTTCATATCCATGGGTCACACATATAAGTTCTTTGGCTTCTCCATTTCCTATACTATTCTCAACCTCCTGCTGTCTATTTTGTACCTACCATTTATGTTTCTTATTCGCTGTACCTCTTTCCCCATTCTCACCACACCTCTCCCCACTATTAATCCTCCATGTGATCTCCATTGCTGCGATTCTATTCCTGTTCTAGTTGTTTGCTTAGTTTATGTTTTTGTTTTTGTTTTTAGGTTCAGTTATTGATTGTTGTGAGTCTGTCACTTTACAGTTCATAGTTTTTGATCTTCTTCTTAGAGAAGTCCCTTTATTATTTCATATAATAAGGGCGTGGTGATGATGAACTCCTTTAACTTGACCTTATCTGGGAAGCACTTTTTCTGCCCTTCCATTCTAAATGACAGTTTTGCTGGATAGAGTAATCTTGGGTGCAGGTCCTTGCCTTTCATAACTTTGAATACTTCTTGCCAGCCCCTTCTTGCCTGCAAGATTTCTTTTGAGAAATCAACTGATAGTCTTGTGGGAACTCCTTTGTAGGTGACTGTCTGCTTTTCTCTTGCTGTTTTTAAGATTCTCTCCTTATCTTTAATCTTGGGTAATGTAGTTATGCCGTGTCTTGGTGTGTGCTTCCTTGGGTCCAACTTCTTTGGGACTCCCTGAGCCTCCTGGACTTCCTGGAAGTCTGTTTCCTTGGCCAGATTGGGGACAGTCTCCTTCATCATTTTTTCAAAGAAGTTTTCAATTTCTTGCTCTTCCTCCTCTCCTTCTGGCAACCCTGTGATTCAGATGTTGGAACGTTTAAAGTTGTCCTGGAGGATCCTAAGCCTCTTCTCACCTTTTTGAATTCTTGTTTCTTCATTCTGTTCTGATTGAATGTTTATCTCTTCCTTCTGCTCCGAATCGTTGATTTGAGTCCCGGTTTCCTTCCCTGTTGGTTCCCTGTGTATTTTTATTTCACTTTGCATAGCCTTCACTTTTTCCTCCATTTTGCAACCATACTCAACCATTTCTGTGAGCATCCCGATTACCAGTGTTTTGAACTCTGGATCTGATAGGTTGGCTATCTCTTAATCGCTTATTGTGTTTTGGGGGGAGTTTTGATCTGTTCTTTCATTTGGGCCATATTTCTTTGTCTCGGCACACCTGTTACATTGGAAGGGGCAGAGCCTTAGGTTTTTGTCAGGGCTGGGCAACCCATGTCGCTACATTGTGGTGCTGCGTGTGGGGGGAGGGGTCAGAGGGAACAATGAATGCTGCTTGCTCGGCTCTTGGCCAGCTTTCAGTCACTTGTCCCGCTACCCACAAGCAGATTGGGCCCTTTTGGTGCCGATTCCTGGGTGGGTGGGTTTGTGTACGTTCTAGGACCCTATGGGTCTCTCCAACGAACTTTTCTCGTGGCAATGAGCTTCTCCTGCTGCCACGTCCCCCACAGATTTTTACAGCCAGAGGGTTTGAGGCCTTCCTTTCCCCGCGCTGGAACCCTGGCCCACTGCCTAGCCTGGTCCTTCAGCCACTACCTTGCCTTGCGTCCTCTTCGCCCCAGCTGCCTGTCCCTGCCCCTTCTACCAGTCTGGATGAATGTTTCTTCTTTAACTCTTGGGGTGTCAGACTTCCATACAGTTCCATTTTCTGGCAGTTCTGATTGGGTTTTATTTTTATATTTGCTGTTGTCCTTCTTCTGGTTGTACGAGGAGGCAAAGTGTATCTACCTATGCCTCCATCTTGGCCGGAAGTCAGCAGTTTAATGATTTTTTTTCATTTATGGTGTGGGTGGGAGAGTGAACCAGGACTATTCTCTTACAGAAGTTTAAATAAGACTCAGAAGTGAAATTTGTATTCTATGACAAATAATGAGATCCCATAATAATCATGCCATTAAAGGAAGACTCTAACCTGAGTTCTACAGAAATTATAGTAAATAAAATAATGCACAGAAAATAAAATTTGGTTATTTATTGTTAACGCCTTAGGCACATTCAAATTTTCAAAAATCTCCAACAGTATCACAGAAGTAGACCTCTTACTTTTTGTTTTTAAAAAACAGGAGATCTGCTCTAGGTGGTGTGGCTCAGTAGACTGAGCGTCAGCCTATGAACTAAAAGCTCGTTGGTTCGATTACTGGTCAGGGTTACTGGCTGGTCCCCAGTTGAGAGCACATAAGAGGCAACCAGTCAATGTTTCTCTCACATCAATGTTCCTCTCCCTTCCTCCCTCTCTCTCCTCTCTAAGAATAGAGCCTTTAAAAAAATAAAACAAATAAAAATTAGAAGATCTGCAAAGGGTAAACTCTCTAATCTTATTTGCATATTGATTAGTACACATGTGGTAAGGAAACCAACTGAGGCCTGAAGGAAAACCAGCCAAAGGTTTAAAGGGAACAATCTCTGAAGCTCACACAGGCTTGGTATAGTTTCTGTCCAATCACCCAAGAACTATTTATACAGTATTAAGTAGTTGGAATGGTTTTGAAACTATAGTAGGGCAAAATTATCTAGACTAAAACACTGTTCTAGTCCTGCCTATCAAAGGTTAAAAGACCCAAAAGGATCAAACTGCTTCCAAGTAACTTACCATGACAGAAAACAGCTCAAGAAGATTCGCATAAACACAAAAATATTTAGGATCCAAGAAGGTAAAATTTATAAAATTGGCAGCATTCAAAGAAAGAGAAAATGTGATCCACAATGAGAAATAAACCCATATGTGACACAAATGATAGAATACTCAGTTATTATAATTGAATAACATAAAATATTAATTCAAATAATATGAAGACTGAAAATGTTAAGTACAAACATGAAAAATAAAAAAAAAGAGACCCAATTCCAACATCTAGAAATGATAAACACAATATCTGAAGAAAAATACTTTAGATAGAATCAAGGGCAGATTAAACATTAGAGATCAGTGAACTTGAAAGCAAAGCAATAGAAACTATTGAAACTAAAATAGAAAAAAGATTAAAAGAAATTAACAGATCATCGGTAAGCGATACAATGGTTTTAAGCAGCTTAATATACATGTAATTG